TGTGTGCATAGTGCATAATACTCTCTAACAAACCAGACGTTTGTAGCCTGACGACAAAGTTGAGACACTTACTTTCAAGTTTGGATTTGTTGCAAGTTTCTGACCAATTAGGGCAGCATTTCCTCCCACATAGAGCTATAAGAGAGAATTTAAAAACAGGATCACACACATGCACTTTAGCAGTTTTATAGACTGAGTTCTACATATTTGCAATAACTCTGTCAGAACACTGTTAATAATGTACAGTGTTAATAATGGGACTGTCAGAATAATTCCACAATTTTCTGTCCCAAGACCGTTTTTTCCAAATTTAGCAATTCTTGTCCCAGGTCATTATTAGCCAGTATTAGTCTTCCGATAGCCCACTGGGCTATACATTTCAGTCTGTTCACCCCATAAACATTACCAAATGTCCATTTAATTTGTTATTCTTAGTTTGGGGGTGGAGGCAGGGTTCGTTCTATCCTTATTGGTGAGCTGGGAAAACCATCATTTTAAGATATAAAAAGATTGATCAAAATCAAGGGCAAAGTTCACAGATGAGAGAGAATCTGACAGACATCATAAGCTAAGCTGATGCCAGAACTCCAAGTAACTGATAAATAAAGCAAGATTTACTGAGCTATTATGATTAACTGTTTCTGTTGATACCATTTTGCCAGATATGGGGATCTTCAGGTAAATTCATTACCAACGGCACCACAAGATATAAGAAATGTATAGTCCAGTCACTATGAACGTGTACAAGACCAGACCCACAAAGCACCCAAAACCAGAATTCGAGGTAAAGCTTGTTTTTCTTCCATCTTCAGCTTCTTACCACCTTGAAGTGTAGAAATCAGTGAGTTGGTCAAAAACCACAGGAATTATGAGGACTAGTTTTAAGATAAAAACAGGCGGAAAGCCAGACACCAGAAGAAAATGAAATAAAGAGAACTGAACAATTTACACAGAGGCTTGAAAGTCCAGTGAACCCAACAACTCACACCAAAGCTACAACAACTACTCTCTCTACACAAATGGGCCCTATGGAGACATAAACAGCCTGTCTTCTACTTGGGCTTCATCTGAACGTTCCCTGAGCCTGCTACCTGTGCACAATAAGCCCTGTACAAAGAAAGCAAAGCCTGTAAAAAGCTTCTTGAGATGAGCAAATCCCTAATGGTGCTCTAGGTTTCACAGCTCAGGGACGACCCATGGAATCACCATAGTGTTCAAACTAGGGATGTAAAAATGCAGTTGCAAATGTAAAAATCGTAACAGTTACACTTGCTGTGGGTGCTGCAGTGTAAGGCTTAAATAAGCTTTATACTGCACAGGCCAAAGCGAAACCTCCCTGCTGCTGGCCCCACTCCCAGGGAGGAAGCTGTGCTTTGGCCCTGCTGCAGGGGAGGCCAGTGTGAAGGGGGGGAGGGGGGGGGAGAAGGAGGAGGCTAATTAGTTAACCTTTTATTACATCACTAGGTCAAACAATGGTTAGAAAGGATCAGAGAATGTTACCCTTTTGATAGGGACAGCAATCTAAACGGGTGACAGAAAATGAAAAGCAGAAGGCAAAGAGGTAATAATGACAAAGGAAAACTCCAGTTACAAATCAAACCACAGGCCCAGACATCAAGGTGCAAAACAGCTAACAAAGACAAAGTTGCTACAGTCAGAAGATCATGAAAACTTAGAATAAGAAGTCAGCTGCAAAAGAATTCAGCACTGTTCCTGGTTTGGAAGTGCACCTGGAGAACTCCACACAAACAATCAGGAGAAATTATCCTTCTTAATGCTAAGTGCCAACTTAGCTCATGGCAAAAAACTCCCGAAGGCCCAGTGTACATCATAGCAGATGATCCAACTAGGAAGTGTGTATTTTAGAAAGACTGCCTACTCTCTTTGGTGCTCTCTAATGCCAGAGAGATGTGCATTTCCAAGACTTATATCATGGAGATGCTGAAATTTATGGAAATGTTTCTAGTTCTTTATTCTTGCATCCACCTTCTCACCACCTGCATCATTTACACAAGTTAGAATTTTCTTTGTGGTATCAGCCCTGCCCCTCCACAATAAAAACAGGCATTTCATTTGTTGCCTAGGCTATATTCAACAGAATTCTTGTGAAAGCCATTCCAACTATCAGAACCAATGTATGTGCTATGTAGATTTTGGAAGGCCACAATGTGCAGAAAGGAGAGACAACTCTACATTCTGAGATTTAGGATCCTACCAAATAGAGTTAGAGAAGAATTACATTTTCAAATAAAGCATCTGTACATTAGCTGAGTGTTTAGATTTCTTAGCAGCTTCACATACAGTGGTTAAGTTTATTTTTTAATTAATATAATAAAGCAGCAGTGTAAGTTTTTGTTTCCCGAATCTCTTGCACTATCATTCTGAAGGATAAAAAGGGCCATAAAATCTGGTATACAGTTTGCTAGTGTACACAAGATAAGCCTTCTAAATCTAGTCCTAAAATACAGAACACACCTGTGCCCCTGGGTATTCTGAGGCTGCTTGTGCAATGTGATTGAAGGCCTCCGCATCACTGAAGAAGCGCTCAGCAGCTGCCCCTTTTTGCATGAAATGGATGAAGGCTTCTTTCAGATCCTTTCTGGAATTTAAGACAGCATGATCTTTCCCATTCCCAGGATCAAGACCAAGTGCCTGCAAGAGCTTCACACCGGAGAGGATTACATCTACACAGGCATTGACTCTGGAAGAAGACGACAGAAAGGAAAAATGAGCTGGGAAAAGAGTGTACGCGCATGCGGGGGAAGGGACAGGACTTCTAAAAGTTTTGGGAGAAAGTTGTGGTATTTTGCATTATTGAATTTGTTAGCACCAGGATTCCAGAGAATTTCACAAACAGCTTCAAGAAATGCATCAAGTACTGCTTAAACTGACAAAGTGGTCTGCTTTTGACATGAAAGGCTGTAGACTAGCGACAGATTTCCAACTGCGTGTTCAAATTAAAATAGGGACTAGTGTATCACTCCTTTTTTTAGGTACTTATGTAAACCAAAGCTGTTGCCTTTGGTTACCGAGGTTTGCCAATATACTTAAAATAATACAGAACTGTTTTTGTTTTACTGTTGGGATTTAAACACATGTTCAATTTGAAGCAGTTGCTAATAACAAAACTAAGTTTCTCTCAACTCAAACAGTCCTCCAATCACATTTAGGCCAGCATCAAAGAACTGTAACTTTGTTATGAGGGAGGAATAGCTCCTGGTTTGAGCATTGGCCTTCTAAACCCAGGGTTGTGAGTTCAATCCTTATGGAGGCCACTTAGGGATTTGGGGCAAAAATGTGTCAGGGCTGGTACTTGGTCCTGCTGTGAAGGCAGGGGACTGGACTCAATGACCTTTCAAGGTCCCTTCCAGTTCTAGGAGCTAGGCAATCGCCATTAATTTATTTTGCTAATAGCTGGATCCATTTGTAAGGAGCTAGGAGAGCATCCTCAGCTGGAAGATTTTAAGATCATTGGTATGATGCACAGAGCATGCCATTCAAAAAATTCCTGAAGGCCCCATATCTTCCTCTCGCCATTAATGAAACAGGAGGCACTTTTGTTATCTGCAGAGTGTCTTTGGGACGGATTCGGAGTTGGACTAATTTAGCTGCAGTTCTGTCAGTCACCCCGACGGAGCACAGGAGCCAACCCCAGCTATTCAGTTGGGGAAGGAGGTAATGAGTGCACGGGACTCGGCCAGTCCCAGCCCGCTACAGGTATCGAGCCTGGAGGGAGGAGCTAAAAGCTGAACCCTGCTCTGCAGAAGGCGGCTGAGGCAGGAGAGCAGGTCACAGGCCAGGAACCGATTTGAAAAGCCGTCACGGGCCCCTAACCCTGGGCGCTGCGAGG